TAAATTAATGAATAAATGTTTGATCTTAAAATGCTTCTTTACAATGCAATAAAAATCGAAATTAACTTGGGTAGATTGTGACAATTTGACATTATATTGCAATGCAACGTCGACGTTTAACTCGAGAAGGGCTGTAGGAATTCTGCAGGCTGGTACTTTTCAACTGGCACTAGGCACCAGGCAAAATGTGATTTCGAGATTGTGATCACACTATCATGCCGCGGGGGTGGTGGTGGAGAAACCCAGGACCAAGCCGCATTACTACAGCCAGATAAGCCATTTTTTGCAAATTGCTGGGAGAAGGCAACAATATATATGATAGGGCGAAGCAATTGTCCAAACGCTGAACACCAGGTGCTTGAGAGTGATCAAATTGTGAGGAGGAGACTGCACGAAACTAACATTCATGGTGGTAGACCACTTAGGGTTCCAGCTCTAAGTAGAGGAAATATTGGACGAAAACTGCAATGGGCTGTGAACATGTGAACGTGGAATCCCATCATTGGTCGTTGGTGCTTTTCACCGATGAATCCCGGTTTGGTTTTCATCCTAATTGTACTCACACGTACTCTGAGGAAAGTTTCTGGTCGTACTGTCCGGCCTCAACACTCTCAAGAAGTTCATCCATACCAATGTGGTACAATTATATAGTGGTAGTAAGAATTCGTTTCGGTGAAAGAACAGACTTCGTTTGGATACAGGACACTATGGTGGCTAAAAGATACTGTAATTAGGTGCTAGAACTAATAGTCTTGCCATATATATAACCGTGTCCACGCTTGGGTCAAAATTCCCTCCTTATGCACGACAATGTCGGTTCAGTCTGGTTGTACAAACATGATGTGATGTCCCTAGAATGGCCAGCGTAATCTCTAGATTTAAATTCCATAGAAAATACTTGGAATATGCTTCAAAAAAGAGCTCTAAAAGCTTTTCTTGACATTAATGTTACAGAAGAACGACTCTTTATGCGTCTCAGCAGGACCTGGGACAATATTCCTCCATAGGATATTAATTATCTTATTCTCAGTATGCCCAACCGATGCAAATGCGGTATGGATGTAAAGGGCGCTTTTACTGATTATTAATCTTAATGCAATAAATTACTTTACTTTTGTTTAGATTACATAGATACTTTACTTATGATTAGCTTAGTGACATAGATGCGAGACGTGTGACCCTGAGGGTAAGCTAAATCTACAAATAATCAACGGGAGAGGCCCATTACCAGCTGAAAACTTTTACGGGCCGATGTTGATGATAGATAATGATGAGTATTAACATTTCATTATACATTCATCACAGCCTGTCAAAGCTAAATTAATGAAGACTACTGCTGAACGTAGGAATCCCCAAAGAATGCCTGAGAATGCCTTTTTTCCGGTATTATTATCAAATTTCAACACTAACAAGAGGCAACCAAAACATGAAACAAGTAATAGCACAGCAGTTTTCTTTTTTTTAAATATTTTGTTATTGAAAATGATTTTTAATATCATTCTGAAAAGCATTGCTGAAAATGGGGACTGTCCACTTTTAGCTCATATATGTGTGATATAACTCGCACCTTCTTAGTTGCGAGTATTAAGTACTAACATAGATATTGAGCTTCTATTGTATCTATTAACCACTTTGGATCTTCGTTTGACCAATAAAGATTTTTTTGTTATTTTTATATTATTTATTTATTAACAGTTTTGTTTTCGAATTTATTATACCAGTTGAGGTACAAGATCGAGTAGAGTTCAGTTTGTACAGTCTAGCAGCGCGATCTCCTATTCGTATGACAAGTGCGGCATTTAGCCAAATATTCCTCAATGGACTATGTACAGCATTACCGGGCTGCTAGTGATGTTGTGTTATTTGAAAAAAAAAATGTTATTCCGTATTTTTTGTGCTTGCATTTTGGACTTGAAACCGCATTTGCATCTGTGTAGTTGCTACTTACGTAATCGACGCAATAAAGTAAGTTATTTTCAAGCAAGCATGAGTCTAGCCACGTAGGTCGATTGGTTAGCGATAAGGTGCAGTTGCCTTGTTATAGCCAAGTTTGTAGCCAATTGCTGTTTAGAGCACACGTCTTCGATTTTATACGACCTAGACACGTTAAAACTAATTAGTTGCGTACGTTTATATTACAATCATAATTGTTATTGTAATTTTGTTTCTATTTTGATAAAAATACTTTTCGAACTGCCAAGCCAAGCCAAGATGGAGTTGTGATGTTCAAACTACGCTACAAAAGAATAAAACGTTAGTAACGTTACCTCTCAGGTGTGGCTAGCGTGCGATTTGGTGCAGGAAACGCTCCGTCCGCAGCACATATGACGTTCACAGTATCATCGTCACTCTTGTTCTGGATCAGGCGGAAGTTCGTCTCCGGTACTGAAACATGACACTTCTTAGAAAATTTTGTAACATGGCACGTGAAGTATAATGAACTGTAAGAAATAGGCGCGTGCTAAGATGGCGAACTTCTCTCGCGTAATATTAAGCTTCTCGAAGCATTTTTTCTTTATTTTATACTCGATCTTTGATGAAAATTATTTTTGTAGTTATTTTTTATTATTATTATTCTAAACCAGCGCCCGCTAAATCCCACCTGATGGTAAGTGGTGATGTAGCCTAAGTATGTGAAGCGCTCTGACTTAACAAAAACCTATTCACTCTTACCTTGAACACTGCACACAGCACTGTAACCGGATGGAAATACAGATGCTGGCAACTTATTCCACTCCTTTGCTGTACGTATGATGAACGACGTAGCAAACCGTTTGGTTCGAATGTGTGGCAAATCAAAACGAAAGGGTGGAGACTGGCCGAACGTCTGATTTTCCGATGTCGAAGGGAGAGGGAGGAATTACATTATGCGTTGCCTGCGCACACTATCCGAAATGCATCCTGTAGAAGACCGAAAGGCTAGCTACTTTGCGTCTGTGTTCGAGGTTGGTAAGATTGGTTTTAACCAAATTTGGGTTACCAATAAGCATCTTAGCACGCCTTTCCATTCAGTGCAAAGTTACTAGGAGGCATTTTGCAGCACCGGCCCATATATGGCAGCAATACTCCGTGCACGACCGGACTTGCGCTTTATATAAAGTAAGCAGCTGTCGCAGCGTGAAGTATCGCCACACCTTCGCAAGTACTCCTAGGTTCCTTGCAACTGCTTTGAACATGGACTATATGAACCGCCCGAATTTCAGATTTGAGGATATCTCAACCCCCAGCAACTGGAGGCGGCCGGTGTATTCCAGTGATACATTTCAGAAAGAGAGCCAAAGTGAGCTGGCTCCTTTTTTGCAGTGAAGAGAGACGCTTGTGTTTTGGAGGCGTTGAATTTCATAAGATTAGCATCACCCTATTCAGAGACTGCTTATAGTGTGGTATTCACACGATCCACCATAGCTTTTATTTCGTACTTGATTTGATCCCGACTGGCCCGAGGACTTGGTTGGTATCTCTCAACAATTGTGACGTCGTCTGCGTACCCATAAATACCGGGCCTGAGCAAATCGTTACTGTGCAGCGGGAAGAGAGTTGCGGAGAGAACGGACCCCTGAGGAACACCGGCGTTAGTCCTCACAGGATCGGATGAGCAGCCGTTGACGACGACAGTTTACAGTTTCTGTTCACTTTTATTATATTAGCTGACTTTTTAACATAACTCAGCTTGCGAAAATACATAATAATTTTCAAATATTACAATTATTATTGAATATTCTTTTTTAGAATAAGGGTGTCAAGCGGGCACACAGTCCAGCTTGATGGTAAGTGGATGCTGTGGCCTATAGACCTACAGCCAATCCTGAATAAGATTCAAAATGCCGATGCGTTATCACCCCCCGAGGGCTAAGATGGAATGCCTTGTATCCAGTAAAAAAGGCAGCAGCATTATGCTGCTATTTTACGCTGGTATTACGTGAGAGTGTGGTTCTTCTCTGCTCATGCCGATCAATTCAAGCTTCAAGTATAAAACAGATGCAGCGTGGCTCCAGCATGTATAAATTAGACTATTGTCTTGTAGTGCCGGCGTGTTAAGGTAAATCATTATCCCATATAATCTCATGTGTGTCGTACAAGGCAGCAGATGGAAAAAACAGGAGATGAGCAACGGTATCTTCTAAATGAGAAGTGAAAATAATAAAAAACCACGTCCCTAAGGGGCGCGGGTTCGAAACCCTCACGGAATAAGTGTATGTGTTGCTTACAAATAATTGTTTTGGTTCTGGATGTTTGTTTACCTTGTGTAATCTATGTATGAAATCTGCCTCCGTGACACAGGAATATCCTAGTACAACGTACCGGGGGTAACGTTTAAAAAAATCATAGTTTGACACTCTGCTGAACTAAATCGTTAGACTTAGATCAGCGTAATAACAAATGGACCACACAATAAAGTCAGAGAAAACATTTAAACGAACTACTTAATAGCTTGTTCAGGTTGTTTAGTTCAGCTTACATGTTGTAAACACACAAACCGTAAGCAGATAATTTTGTATATTCCAGGCTTATGTGAAATCATTATCTATATATAATTAGTGCCATATCCTAGATCCTCAAATCCCAACTCTACGTAATAATATTTTGAGCCCTTCAATCGATTATAAAGTATATAAAGCATTTATTTTAGATTGTCAGTTTAATTAAAGCAGGCTTAGTTGTTATAAGCTATATTAAAATTTTATATTACTTGAGAAAAATTGGTTTGTTGGTTATACACGATTGTAGCCTGAAATAAATCTGGTTGCAATAAAGTACTTAATATTGAATCCATCCGCTTTAACGACATAAATAGGTAAGAGGAGCCAGACAGGCTGCTAGGCAGAAAACAAACCGTTTCTAGATTCCGTATTTTCGTTAGAATTTTTATAATATATAATTCATTTTATGTGTATTATACTATACTGTAAATACTACCCATAATCTAAAAATGTACAAAAAATATAATGTATACTGATCAGAAATTTAACACCGTCCCCTTTAAATTATTATTTTCTGGTTTAATGGTTCTGCACAGGACAGTCTTGATACAAACAGGCTAATTGACAACCGCACGGACACCCGCTTCCGTTCACATCGGAAACCTCTCTGATGTTCCTCTTTGGATAGTTTGTGGTATTTGCGGAAGTCTTTGCTATCTTCGGAGTAATAAATACATATGTTTTCCTATTATAATTGAACAATGCATAGAATTTATAAAATATCTAAAGAAAAAAATATCTCGTTGATTATTTATCGAATAATTTTATTATATATTATATTTTATACGTGGTAAAGCCACGCTGCAGCTATAGTATGGTTGTAGCACGAATGGGTTGACTCGACCGGTGAAGGACCATGATCTCACAGAATACCAGCGTAAAATACTGCTAGTTTCGTATGGTGAGTGTAGAGATCCGGAGATCCATTTTTACTAGAAACGAGGCATTCCATCTTAGTCCTCAGGGGTGACAACGCATCTGTGTTTTGATTCTTAATCGAGAATAAATGTGTCTATGGGCCACAGTAGCCACTTACCATCAGGTGGACTGTGTGCTCGTTTGTTGCCCTTATTTTATATTTAAAAATGTTACTTATCTCATGAATAGGTATCCAACCGATTTATTGAACTATATTAATGCTAACTTCTGTAAGGTTAAAAAAAATATTGCATAAACGTTAGAATAGCTTATGTTTTCCTGGTTATTGTTCGTGTAGTTTGTTTTAAGCTTCTTATTTAGTTTTTAATTCAATATATTGCAATTGAAATTGCAGAGAAAAGAAAGCGTCTGGCGAATTTTAATACTCCTGAACCAAGTATCTGTTCATAACACCGTCGTTTGCTGTAACAATACCACACAAATAAACGATACAAAATTTATTTTAATATTTTATTTTAGATTTTGTCTCTAATCATGGGAACGAAAGGTTACGCAGTCTTTTCTAAAATCCTGACAACACGATGATTTTTTTTTTTGAATCCCACATACCGAAATGATACGATCCGAAACTGAATATTTTTATTATTCTATCATGTAATTTTATTAATTAATTTATCAGAATTCGAGGGTTCCGTGGTGCAGTTGCTTATGAATGAGTAAAGACTCCAGACTAAAAAAGATGTTAACTATATTTTTAAGTAATGCAAAATTCTTTTGCCAGCGCCATTTTTATAAATATGCGCTTGCGGTTCAAGTTAACGTTTATTTCATATTCAGTGAATTTATTTTACTGTTATTCGGGACTACTTATTTTAGACATTGTAAAAAAAAGTAGTTACAACCTGATATGTCCCTCCGTTGAACACAGGTTTGACCAGCATGGGACCTTGCTTTATAGCTCTTTCATTTCTGCGAAGTAATGAGCAATTTAGCTGCCACGCTGCTCCAGTCCATCTGTATTTTATGTACAATGAATAAGAAGATATTATACTTGATGCACAACAAAGTTTAACTTTTATATATTTGAATCTTAATAAAATGAAATAAATCTACAAATAACATCTAAAATGGAAGAGACACTGAAAATGTATGGTTAGAGAAACGCCTTATGTTACAGCTAGTTTAGCTGTTTCGTACTCTAAATTTGTTGCTTCAGTTATTCATTTCAAGAAAAAGCTTTATTTAATGAGTTTAAAAAAGTAGTGCTTGCAAAATTCGCTATTTGTAACAATCCTCTCATGTGCTTTAGACCTATAAAACAACTTTTTTTAAATATTTCATGAAATATTATTCGAAAAACCTTTCTTTAGTGGACAACTTTTGAAAGTTTTCAGAAGTTGTCATGCATCCATTTAAAGCATGAACGTCCACTGCTGAACATAGAGCCTCCCCATGGATTGCCAAAAGCTCTTTCCATATTTGCCACGCTTATCAGATGAGTAAGCAAGCGCTAGGACTATATTAAAAAAATATTACTTACATGTTACGTGATAGAGCCATGCTGCAATTATATCGTGGTTGAGGCACGAATGGGTCGGCTTGACCGGGGTAGGACTACGCTCTCACAGAATACCATAAATAGCAGCTTAATGGTGATGTGTTTCGCATGGTGAGTGCAGAGAACCGGAGACCCTTTTTACTGGAAACAAGGCATTCCATCTCAGTCCTCAGGGGTGGCAACGCATCTGCATTTTGATTTTTAAATGAAGATAAATGTAGATGTCTATGGGCCACAGCATCCACCTAACATCAGGTGGACTGTGTGCTTGTTTGTCATCCTTATACTATAAAAATTATAATTTTTATTAGGATGCTCACGAAACGGTATGGGGTTGTGAATATTCTTACACCGCTACTACATGGTTTGTTTAGAATTATTCTTCTTTATCAATCCGTAAAGTCTACATGAAATAGCCATTGTAGCACGGGTTTCCCTAATGCGGTCTTCATCCTGAGGACCTAACGTGTGGGGTAAGCGAGATGGTTATACATTATTGAATTTCTCATGGCCTTTTACGAACAAAAGCAAAAGGGGTAGCGAATTCTCTTACACCACCACCACACGGCATCTTCGTTTAAAACAGCTGTAAGTAGGAATGACCTTAGTTATTTATACCGCCAACTAAAGTCCGAACAGCTCCTCTGAATGGTACACAGAGCCACAACATAATTACAGTCTGTGAGGAATTTCATCTCCGTCCTCAGAGGTGGTAACGCATCTGTAGCCTCCTTTGTATGAAATTGGTTGCAGATGTCGTTGACAGGTGAGAGTTCAATGGCCAAATATTTAAACGCTACTCAATTTTAAGATGTTACCAAGTCTCGTGGTGTTACAATCACATTCTAAAATTGAGCAGTGGGTATTTGGGTATAAAACACCGAAACCTTAGAACATATTTTTGAAAACAATTTGTAGAACCCAATTCCATAAAATATTACGACGAAAGGACGTGAATGTTTCTATTACCAAGGGTTTTCAAATTATGTTCTTGTGAAGAGGGGTAATAAAAACAGAAGCATAAAAACTAACTGAAATTTCAGTTATTATAATCATTCAACGATAGACATTGTATCTAAGTTTTAATTTTAATTAGATAATCCGTTTTTATATTAGTTCCTAATTTAATCAGCCTATTAAAGTTCATTACCCGCTCAATAGTGAAAACATCCATCCCAGCTATCTGTTATCCATGGCGGCGATTCAAATCCCGCCATTTTCTGCCATTAAAAAAATCTTTAATTACTATTAAACTTCGCTTTTAGCACTTGTGTTATAATAATATATAAATTCAGAATAAAAACATGCATATTATATTTTATTGTATAAATCACAACATTATATCCATATATTTAAGAAAACACGAAATTAAGTAGGTAAATTATTTCCCCCGGGCAGTAAATACAAGCCGCAATGGTTGCAACGTAAAAGAAATGACACCATTTAGAAAGATAATGTTGAGGGCCTACTGAACATAGTTCTATCCTTAGACTGTCTATATAGAGGGATATTTGCCATAGTCATCTCACTTGGTAAGCGGTTTGGCAAACATAATTTATTTTTATTTTATATCAGGTACGCTGCTGCCCATTTAACGTTTAATAAAAAAAATAAGATAATGCGAAAAAAACCATGATCAGCATTTCCTTAAAGGATAGTTATAGAAAAACAGTCATCTCACGGTAGATCATAAGCACCACTCATAGCAGGCTCCTAATTAAAGCGACCTATGTCGCCCCAATGCTCATTGGTGCAATTCAAAAACAATTTACGTTACAAACCATGCCAACTGTCACACGACATTTTTTATTGGTTAGAACGTGGTAAAGCGTAGCGATTCAATTTGCGATTCATTTGTTCCAGTGATCGAATATAAGTGGTAGAGCCACGCTACAGTAACGTTATGATTGTAGCACGAATGGGTCAGCTCTACTGGGTAGAACCACTATCACACGGAATACAAGTTACTTACTGGAAAACGAGGCATTCTATCTTAGTCCTGATATGGTGATAACATATCTGCCTCTTGATTCTTAATAGACGATACAATATTAACTAGATGTCTATGAGCCACAGCATCCACTTACCATCAGGTGGACTTTGTGCTCGTTTATCAACTTTATTCTATAAAAAAATCTGATTGTGTTAAGAAATATGAAGCATCCTGGTACTGAAATAACGGCTGTTGATTAATATTGAGCAATGCTACAGCAATTAAATGGCCACGAAAAATTATCGCATTTTATAAAAACATTAAACATAAATAAAATCATTCATGTAACGATCTTTAGTAACGTAAAGAATCGTTTAATTTCTCTACTTTCTTTGTTTTTTTTTTGTTAAATTAATATTTTGTTAGTTTTAAAATATTTTATTTGAAAATTGTTACTTAATTTTCTTAATTTGCTTCATTTTGAATCTCCGAATCAATTAAACCCACTGGGTTTCGTAGCCAGCTGAAATTTATTATTATTATTTATTAGATAACTTCGAGTAACTATTAAATAAAATTTGACTTGGATTTTCACTACTTAAATTTCAGTATGATTAATGTGGGATCGTTACTTACATTCAACAAAATTTAATTTTACATTCAGACCGCTAAAAGTTTTATGTTTTTAACAGTTTCCCTGTCAGCGTAAAAACACAAGAGTTAAACGATCGAAATGTTCATATTCATACGATGATACGATGTGCCGTGAGTCATGCGACTCACGGCACAGTGAAATGATTAAGTTGAACCCGTGTTCATTAACTTGTAAGCCTCGGCCTTAATTAAGCCTCGGTCTTTTCAGTAGAAAATACTTTTGCCAGCAATCTCATTTCATGATCCGGAAGGGAATAGAGATAGAGCCGGTACAATTGCAGGCTGTAAGGCATTCCATCTCAGTCTACAGAAATGACAGTTACAAGGCGTCTGTAGACTTCTTCTTCTATTGAAGTTAGTTGCAGTCCAGATGCTGCGGTAGCCACTTCACCAGCCTTCTTCCAACTTAAGGTCAGTAGATTGTAATTCGTTTATCACTTGAATTTACTAAAACAAATCTCATTTAAATAAAACTAGATTTTCGGGATTTAGCGCGTATATTAACTAATTTGTATTATCGACGTTTCGGGTACTTTGTATCACCCATGATCACTCTGGGGTTCTAATACAGCAGAGACAGCACGCAATATCGATGCTGCGCATGGAGAGGATTCGACTAAAGAGTCTGCACTGTGCGTTTTTGCTTTAATCGCTTTTGTATTTGAAACTTTTACTTCAAGAATGAACCACGAGGCAGAACAGGTATTAAGATAATAACATAACATAAACGTAAACCCCCACGCCTGTCACCCAGAGGGGTAGGCAGAGACTACAGACTTCCATTTGACACGATCCTGACACACCTTTTTCGCCTCCTTCACATCCATGTGTATATCTACGCATACATGCTCGTCAGTTAAGGGTACTTCTAATTTGGCCCGTTTTCAATAAATCGCTAATTTGGTCGATAAATTTTCGCCTAGGACGTCCCTTTCCGACTCTGCCATTCACTTCTGCAACACAAATTTTCTTCGTCACTCTTTCCTCATTTATTCTTTCCACATGACCAAACCACCGAAGCATTCCTTTCTTAATCCTGGTCACAACATCATCTAAAATAATAAATAGTAAATATTTATAAATAGCTATGAATTAAATGTGCTGGTTCATGCCGATCCTAAAAAAACAGCTAAGCCATTTATAATTCTAAAAAATCGAGGAATAGGTGCCTCATGTCAACTAAGTGCATACAGAAGCACGCATTTGAGGTCTGGTGTACTATAATTATGACGAAAATCTCAATAAACATCTCATCAATCGATACTCACCATTATTGCTCCATGATAATGCAAACCTCACATTGCTACGTAAACCATTTAAATCACAAGATTTTCAGCTAGAAACCATATGTCATTCTGTCCATATCCATCCATCCAGATAAGAATACTAAATATTTCGATTACGTCAGTATATACTTTGTAAGAATAAAAGTGTTTCCAATTAAAAAAATGCGACTTTATAATTTAACACCTAATATAGTGGATTATAAGAAATTAATATTAAAATTTATTAAGTTGCCGTGTAGGCACGGTTGAGAATATTCACTACCGGGAGACGGGCAGGAGATTCCTGATAACAGCAATTATACAATAAAAAACTGCGGTTGACAACCCATTTCGGGGAATCCTCGGGTTGGGGAGTATTCTATAACCAGATGGAAATCAAGTAGTTGGTTCTAGTCGGTTTCCATCATAACCACCGTAAAGCAGGTACGGGTGGACATTTCCCCAGGAAAAAGGCGAACATTTACAAACCTATACCTAATATAATTATTAGTATAGTGAGAAAATGAGCTCACAGTCCCCCTCATGTGATGTGGTTATTGTGACCGATGATAAACTGCAATGCTTGCGTCTTGCGTTATCATTTCTGTAAATGAAGATTCCTCACAGCCTGTAATTATACTAACTCTCTTACCGTTCTAACAAAAACACCGGTAAAAAGACAAGAAGTACTAATACCTATTACTGTATAGTTTGATAGCATTTAATATTTAAATAATAGGTCCTAAAATATGAAATTGGCGTTTTGTACGGGAGAAATATAAAGTCACGTTTTTTTTGTAAAATATATTTAGTTCATCAAAGTATGCACCGTTGTTATGTAGGCATTTTTGCCATCTCATAAGTAGTTCATTGATCCCTTTACTAAAAAAACCATGGGGCGAGAATCAATAAATTCGTTGAAGGCGGTCTGGACTGCCGCATCGGAGTTGAATTTTTTTCGTTGTAAGAAATTGTCCAAATTCCGGAAAAATTGTTGGAGCAAGGTCCGATGAGTACGGTGGATGTCGCAGACATGTATCCATTTGTAGCTTATCTAACTTAATGATTGTTTGTTGTGCATTGTGTAGTTTTGCGTTGCTTCATGGTTTGTAGTTGCTGACAAAAGATATCTGATGTAATAATTTGGCCAGATTTTAGAAATCTGTAGTGAACGACACCGGCGCTAGTCCAGCAAACACAGACAAGTATCTTTTTCTGAGTCAATTTTCGTTTAGGACAGGATTTGGCTGGGTCTCCAGGGTTCATCATAAGTAATGATTCAATTTAAAATCCTTTCGTTTTTGTGTCGGTTGAGCAAAGTAACACAGCAGTCTACGCGTGTCTGCAAGTTCGATTCACTCAACTCATGAGGTACCCATCGTTCAAGTTTTTTACTTTCCTGATTTGCTTCAAGTGGATTAATAAAGTTTTGTCACTTACCCCGAAGCCTGCAGCTATCTCTGAAGTGCCTTGTGATAAATCCGCTTCCACAATAGCCTTCAATTCTTCATTTTCCACTTTGGTCTCCGACCGTCTACGGGGTTGTTTCTGAAGGTCGAAATTTCCATAATGAAAACATTTGAAACCAAAAACGTACCGTGCTTTCTTTTGCGACACCAGCGCCGTATACATCATAAATACTTTGCGCCGTTTCTGCAGCACTGGTGCCACGTTGGAACTCCTAATCGTAAATATACCGATATTTCATGTTTTACATTTTGCGGTAATAAGCGACGCCAAATAAAAAAATGAGGAAAAAACAAATGAATGACTGTTTACCAAATTCAAATGTACCAGCTAAATGAATTTAAAAATTTGAATTTGGAACTCTTAACCAAAGAGGAGTTATTTCAGGGCAAAGCCAGTACGACAAAACGCTAATTTCATATGTAAGGACCCAATATTAAGTCAAATACGTCGTACATTAAATTAAGCCGTATAATACATAGTAGCAGCCGTATAATTTAATAAATAGTGCAAAAACGCGTCTTACTCATAGAAATATAATTCAACACGAAAACTTTTATAAGACGCCTTAATATATGTTACTACTAAATAAAACTAGTGTCAATAGTTTAAATGGAACAAAATTACTCATTTTAATCTGGAGGCAGCCGGGGCCAACTATGATATTGGGAAGTCGAATACCCCAGTCCCTCTCCACCCACGTGACCATGGGTGCTGTAAAGTTTTCAAAACGTTAGGAATATAAAACAAGTTAATATACGCGATATAATCCGTAAAAATAAGTTTTATTTAAATGTGCAGTGTTCGCATAAATATAAGAAATCATTAAGTTCAATAGTTATAAAGTTTAATTTTCAACGAAAAGAGCTACATCATCTGTCTGGGTTTGTTCAAATATTTGACATATTTTAACGAGCTTAACAAATTTCCTTACCAAAAACATATCATTTGTTTAGTTCTTGAATCCTCTTCCATGAATGTTGAAACGACACACGTGTAATCACCAGAGATGTCGGTGTCGGGCTTCACTATGCGGAGTGCTCTGTGCATTTTTAGTGGATCGCTTGATGCTCTGTAGGCTAAGTCAACACGACCTTTCAATATCCCCATGTCCTGTGGCTTTTGCGACACGATCCATTGGTAGACAGGTCTAGTTTTGTTTCTGAAAAACCACTTCACTACCAGTCCCGATGTGTTGTTATTGTAAGCATAGTCACAGTCTAGAATCACAGCGTCTTGCACACCGTACTGTATTATTTCTGGCACTACTATTTTCACTATTTTAACTGCATTCAATTCTGAAACAAAGAAATAAAATTGAGTGTAATTTACATACTAATATGATAAGTAATAAAAAATACATTTGACTTGTAGTTTCGGTTTCATCCAAAGTTTTGAATCCGTGAAGATCCAAAATATTTTGGTTGTAAATAGCATATTGCAAGGGAAATACATATCTAAATATTGAAGTTGCTCTTTTTCTATCTTTTTTTTTATAGAAGACCGGGCGAACGAGCATGCGACTGATCTAATGGTAAGTGACTACCGCTGCCCATGAAAAACCGCAACACCAGGGGAATTGCAGATGCGTTGCCGGCATTTTAGAAAGGAATAAGCTCTTTTCTTAAAGGTCCCCAAGTCGTATCGAACCGGAAACGTCGCCGGTGGTAAACAATTCTACAGAGAAGTTGTACGAGGAAGAAAACTTCTAGTAAAACGCACAGTAGCCGCCAAGCATTCAGATGGTGAGGATGGTATCGAGAATTTTGACGCGATGTGCGTTCGTGAAATTTGGCGGCTGGAACTAATCCGCACAATTCCTCAGAACACTCCTCATAGTAAATACGATAGAAAACGCAAAGGGATGTAATCTGATCGTTACTGAAAATTTTTCATGAAACCGAAGTAACAAAAGCTTACAGCGCACCTGAGGATAAGTGGCTAATGCAGCCCTGTTAGATGACAGATGCGTTGTTACCTCTGATAACTAATATATAACATTATTTTTTTTGCCTTATTTGGTTTTTGAAAAAATTAAGGTGTAAAGGAGAAATATATTTTTTACATTCATTATAGGAAATAACATTGTATCAATTTTTCACTTGTTTTTAAAGTCTAAAAACATTTTAATAAAACAATGTGCGCTCGGATGGGATTTAATACTTTCCTTAAATATTGTTTTGGAGGCCACTTCCTTTAATCATTAATTAAGACAGTTTTTCCTTACTGAAGTATAAAAATACATACAATATCGGGAAAAGTGTGATTAATTTGTAAAAAGGTACCTACTTATATTGCAAACAACAACGGGCCAGTTTGACTGACAGCGAGATAATGGCGGCATCAATAATGATCGGAAAGTCTAATATAAGCGCAAACAAACAAAAGGAACAAGCTTTTGCTGAATGTAAACAATTAATATACATAGACAGTACAAAAATTAATCGAAGACATATTGAATCTAGATAAGATAAGATAAGATAAGATAAGATAATCATTTATTGTCATAACTGTGTACATGAGGTCTTACAAATACAGAGTATAGTTACAACAGTTTGTCCATTTCGGACGTACAATATAATAAAAAATAAAATAAAGCACTACAATAAATCAATAATTACTTCCAAAAAATTCATCCAAATTATAAAAACATTTTGATAATAACCATTCTTTTAACTTTTTTTAAATCTTGGGCTCTCTAACGATTTAATGTATATAGGTAAATGGTTAAAGATTCTGATTCCGCTTATTAAAGTACTTTTACTATAAATGTAACTAGATGATTTAACAATGCACACATCAAAAGCATGTTGAGTTCGTAAGTTCTTTTTTGATTCTTTTTTTAATATTAAAATGTTGTCGGTTATCTTTGACAAACACAGAAATTTCAAGTATGTATATACAAGTCAACGTCAGAAATTTACAATCTATAAATACATTTCTTAAAGAGTCATATTGATTAATATTATACATAATTCTTAAGCACTTTTTTTTGCAAAACAAATGTCGACTGAATGTCAACAGAATTGCCCCAGAATACAATTCCATATGTCAGAAGTGGATAGACATGACCATAGTAATAATTTTTTGCTACATCTCTAGATGCTACATTTTTCAATATTGATATGGCGTAACAACTGCTTGAAATCCTACTGTTCACTTTCTCAACGTGTGATTTCCAGTTCAAATTACTATCAATGTTGATACCCAGAAATCTCATGTTATGCACTTTCTCAATTTTTTCACCGTCGATTATAATATTTAATTCAATTGGAGCTTTTCTATAATTCCTAAATTCTATTAGTTTTGTTTTTCCCAAATTTACTTTTAAATTAATTGAAGTTAGCCAGTTCACTACTGTGTTTAGTGTGTTATAAATTTCATTCACAAAATATGCATCATCTAGTTTATCTCTTGATAAGAATATTGTAGCATCATCAGCATACATTACACATAGATGATTGATCATTAATGGAAGCTCGTTTATGTAAATTAAAAACATCAGTGGGCCTAGTATGCTACCTTGCGGTACACCTAGACGTTTATTCTTAAAGTTTTTCTCTCTTAGCTAATCCATAACCATTAGCCTGCAATACGCAAAGCATTAATATTTATACAATTCTCAATGAAATGTTGTTGAAAGCTTATTTAAATTCATCCTTGGTCCTACTTAAAAGCGGGCTTGACCTAAAAATTTAAGTCTTACTTGAAATTTTATATATTATTTTTTTATATATTTTATTAAATCTAAATCTACACATTAACTGCAAAATAAAATTACAAGCAACGAAACATAAAATTTACTATTAGTTCTTTTATTTTGTACACAAGAGTATAAAATTATCATAAAATTATACGAATTATAAAAGAAAAAGGGGAAAACAACAAAAAAACTAAATACAAAAAGAGAAGGGAAAAACAATAAAAAAAAAACTAAATATAAAAAGAAAAAAGGAAAAACAATAAAAAAAAACTAAATAAATTTTAACTCCGGGGCTCGAACCAGGAACTTGAGGAAGTCGCCCGGTGCATGTATTGCCGCTCTAAGTAATAGGCTGTCGACAGCGATCCGTTTCAAATAGGGATAATATTATTATCTTTCACTGTCTTCATCTTTTAAGACAAATAAATTGTACCGATAACCTTTATATGAGAGATGTTGGAAGGCGTAATTGTCACAATTATCTTAATGGGCACAGACTGAAATAATTGCATAATCTAAGAATACTGTTCCAGAATACTCAGACCACCAAACAACGTATACTATTAAACACTTACCCCGTTGCACTTCTGAAATTAACGTTCCACGAATATAAGCTTCTATTTAAAACATATAAGGTTCACTAATACACAGTTTTAATATATTTCAGCAAACCTATAC